GGTTTTACAAAATCAACAGAGGAAAACAGGGACATTTTACTGTTGTGTTACTGGATAGGATAATCCATCTATGGAAAGGGCTTGGCTGGGGGAGGTAGATGAATCACACCCCAAAAGGGAACATAGTTGAGGAATATGCAGAAAAGAAAAAAGAAAAATCCGACCATAATACTGAAGTCAGACTGACAATTGGTAGTATAGTATTCAGGCTTTCCTACTGAACCAGCAGAGAAAGAGCTACTCTTGATTTTCCCTGAAGACACAAGCTCAAGAAAGGGGATGTGGCTAGTGGTTGTTGCTAATATTGAAATCACAAAACCAAGAAACAAAGGAAGTCCCTGGTCCTAGAAAATCTGGTGATAGTCAACTGGATTTTAAGGGGAGTCCTGAACTAAACAAGGAATTGAGGAAGATGTGGGAATCCCCTTCAGTATTAGTGGAAAACCTCCCCATACTTTCTTCAACATATCTAAAGGCCTGATACTAATATTTGCTTCCAGAACAATTTGCCTCCTTTAGAATTCTGCCTGTGTGTTTTGGGCATACCAGTCCTAGGAAGATTAGGCCCCTGAGAATTGACCCCTTCCTTACCTGTTCTGCTTAGAAAGGTCTTTGCATAGTCCGGGTCATAGATATAGAGAAATGCCTGAAAGGGTCCAATCCAGTGAGGGAAGGCACAAGGGTATTTTTCTACAAGCTCCTCGAGTTTCTCCATTTCATCTTCCTGAAGAAACTGCAGTGAGAAAAGTAAAGGAATTTAGAGAAGTACACCAGTCTAGACACTTGTCCTCTCTTACAAATACAAGCTGAACTCAGGGCTGGATAAGGTCACATAGGCAGAGGGACCCAAATCCTTTTTTGGTAAGTGAACATGTTTTCTTTGGGAATTCTAAGCTTGAGGTATAATTTTCTAAACAAGGCTAGTATATTTATCTTCTCAATATGAATATATTTGCTATCTCCTGTCCAAGTTACTGTTGAATGACATACTGTCAGCTGTTTTCCCAACAGAGATGGCAAAATGGGCTGAGTCACACAGCCTCCTGGTGCATGTACATGTCTCTCATGAGCATAATTAAATGTTCTGGAATTGCCATTCTTCTCAATGTTACCCATAATTTGTCATGATCCACACAGTCGAATGTTTTGCATAGTCAATAAAACACAAGTAAACATCTTTCTGGTATTCTTTGCTTTCAGCTACAAACCATCTGACATCAGCAATGATATCCTTCATTCTACAACCTCTTCTGAATTCAGCTTGCACTTCTGGAAGTTCCATGTCAATATATTGCTACAACTGTTTTTGAATTATCTTCAGGAAGATTTTACTTGTGTGTGGTATTAATGACACCATTCAATAAATTCCACATTCTGTGGGATCATCTTTCTTTGGAATGCATACAAGTATGGATCTCTTCCAGTCAGTTGGCCAGGTAGTTGTCTTCCAAACTTCTTGGCAAAGATATGGCATCTGTTTGTTGAAACATCTCAATGGGTGTTCAGTCAATTCCTGGAGCCTTTTTTTTTTTTTTTTT